CATTTCGGCTTCTTAATTGGTAGGAATAATGATGATTGTGAAATGTAGTTGAAGTACATTAATGGTACTTATTTGATATGTCTATAATATATTCATGGTTGGGATAATTATCTTAATTGGTTGGGATAACGATGATTGTGAAATGTAGATGAAGCACACTAATGGTACTTATTTGATATATCTATAACATATTCATGGTTGGGATAATTATCTTAATTGGTTGGGTTAATGATGGTTGTGAAATGTAGTTGAAGTACATTAATGGTACTTATTTGATACATCTACAACATATTCATGGTTGGGATAATTATCTTAATTGGTTGGGATAATGATGATTGTGAAATGTAGTTGAAGTACACTAATGGTACTTATTTGATACATCTACAATATATTCATGACATAGTGTTATAATAATTGTTTTGCTATACGTTACGTCGACTTATTGACTATCCCGTGATACAAAAGTATTAATATAATTTTGATTTGTGCAATAGACATATGTCGTGTGTGATATAAGTAATAGCATCAACCAGGTGATAAAATTTGACACTTGTTTTAGTTGTTTTACTAGTATACACGCAAAAGACATTAAACGAAGGGAAATTGACTTTTTTACATCATAAATGTCATAAACGTCCGATTTTTCCGTTTTCTTGTCGTTTTACAATATAATTTACTTGCCTTTTATTTTGTGTTTTCTCACAATAAACTTCGAAATCTGATAAACTTACCTTTCGGCTAGGTCGAAGTTATAAATTCAAATACCGTCTAGATAATGAATGACTAGCTGGGTGTCGTGAATAATTATGGATAAAGACAAACTGCTATAATATTCTGCAACTATATAAATCAATGACTTCCTTGGTTCATATAATGATTGGACACCTTATTGTGACAGATAGTATTGGATATTTGTAAAAGGATTATATTATTGCCCCTTGATTGATCAATTGAAATCGATTTTTGAAACGGAACTGACATTGGCAGATAATATTTAAGTATAAACTACAGTAATATGAAATTATAGAAACTAATTATTTATGTCAATTTTTTTCAATTAGGCCTAAATTATGTATTATTGGCGAACTTAAATAGTAACCACATTTACTTTAATCTGTGTTGTTTATAAAACCGCTAATATATTTTATTTTTGAAGTGCCACAGTGAAAACGAAGTATGAAAATATGGGTACTTCAGAATATATGTAAGTCAAGTCGTACTTCGTGGAGTTTTGAACATCTGAAAACTATCTAACTGACTAATAAAATAATCATGTTTTTGACGAAAGTTATAGAATGGTCCCTCTACGATAATAACAGAGCAATATTGTGGCGTCACAAATGCAGATCTAAACCTGTAATACGCGGTAATTTGATGAAAGCTTGAAACAAAATAATGCAATATTTTCTTTTAACTGATGACAAATTTTAGCGTTGTGGAGAGTAATGATATAATTATGGTTTTCAATAGTTTTGAAGAAAGTTATTATAAAATAAAAAGCCCCCTGTCGATAACAACAGAGCTTATCAACGAAGAACTAACCCTGCAACATGCGGTAATTCGGCGAAAGTTTTAAATTCATACAACAAATCACAACATAAATATTTTTTATCTCAGTTGATAGACTAATCATAGCTTTTTCGAATAAGAACTTCCAACAGGTTTGTGGAAAGGTATAATAAAATAACGACCCCCTGTACGATAATAACAGAGCAACATATTTGATGTCATAAATGCAGACCTTAACTTGAAATCCAAACAACAACAAAAATCAAATATGTTCTTTCAACTGAGAGAATAGTCATCGTTTTTTCAAATAAAAGGACCCAATAGTTTTGTTGAAACTTATAATAAAATAAGCAAACCCATGTAGCATACCAACAGGGCAATATTTTTGGCATAACAATTGCAGACCGAAATCTGTTACACCCTGTAATTCGAAGAAAGTTTTAAATCCAACCAATGCAGATCTAAACCTGTAAAACGCGGCAATCCGACAAAAGTTTTAAATCTAGTTAAATATTTTCTTTTAACTGACAGAATCTGCATAGCTATGTGGAGTAAAAACTGTCAATAGTATTGTAGAAAGTAATAATAAAATAAAAACATCACACTATGATAATAACAGAGCAATATTTTTGACGTAATAATCTGTCACATGCGGTAATTCCAAGAATGTTTTAAATCCAATAAATCCAACCAATAGAATAATCAACGGTTTTCTTTCAACTGATAGAATAATCATAGCTTTGTAGAGATTCCTAAGATAATAAAAACTTCCAACTATGATAATAACAGAGAAATGTGTTATGGCGTCACAAAATACAGACCTAAAACTGTCATGTTGATATACAATATTCATTACGTCACGAAAAGCCCAACTCTTTGATGTAGAAAATATTGGATGTTTTGGTACTATCTGTTGGTGGACATGATTGGTCAAAGCGAGGATTTTTCGGCTCGCGACAAATTAGACCAGTCGATCACGAGACTAGGTATTTAATGTCATGGATGAATGGTTATAGGAGCCGCGGAGTGACAGTTTGAGTGCGGCATCAATGGTTTGATGTTCGTGTTACGACGAATGAAATATGGCGGCGAAAACGAGGATATAACTACCCTAACTACGACCAATCTTTCACTACCCTCTAATTTAACTTGTTTTGCTAGAATGAAAAAAATTCCTTCTTGTTTCATCACGGAAATTTGTCTTGGGTTGTAAATTGCCGAACACCAAGCACGTGTATGGAACATTGGTGATATCAAAGACAAGGACGTGCCTCCAATCGACTTTGATAACTTCTTCAGTGCAAAGTTCAAAGAAATACAGGACTTTCTACAAGTTCTATGGCGTTTTTGTGTAGCTGTTCTTTTATGAATACACTTATTTCAAAACCATGTGTAGCGGCTATTTTGTAATAATGAATGCATTGAGGTGAATGCATATGCTTAGTACGATTTTGTGATCTATTTGCCAGCAAAACAGTCCAAACATTTCTAGTACCACTAATATAGCGAGTAACAACGTGGGGAATTTGTTATGTTTGTTGTTGGTATGTGTACAATTATAAACGGCTACATTACTGATGGACTGTACCCATAATTTATACTAAACTGGAAATGTTGTCTTTAATATATCTAGCAACTTCAATGTCTATCAAACGCTACTGTTGCTTGCTTCGGTATTGGCTCGGTCAGTTTTCGGGAAAAAAAATCGCTGGATTATTTACTACGAAAAACCGTACAATTTAGAAAAGAAGAAAAATGAGACTAAAATTTAATATTTTTCGTTTCCAAATTGATTTATAACCCTGAAAGTAATTCCCGATTTTCTTGGGCTCTTGACCCAACAAAAATTCCATTTATTTTTAAAGAAAATGTAAACCACACTAAAAGTAAATATTTTGTATATCCGTATAATATAGTGCACGCAATAACAGATAGGAATTCCTAGACGGGTGTGTCGAAATGATAATAATTTTTTCGTGTTTTTAAATTCGAATAGTTATTCGATTATTTCCTTGTAGCCTATTGGAAAGGGATATATTTTTAGAAGAAGAAACTTTGGTTTAACTTATACATTTATATTTTGAATAATATTATCAGATCCCTGGAAACAATAACATGGAATACAGCCTTAGGAGATTAGACACGTTACATTATTTTAGATTTTAAAAATGAAATAAAAATCTCAGAAAGAATAACATATTAATTGGGTATGATGATAATGGAAATTAATATGTATATACATATATTTGTTGATGTAATATTTCTACATAAAAAATATGGGTTGGTGTACTGTAAGTGAAAACATGGAATACAGATTAAAAAATATATATCAAACTTTTTAACAGCCCCCACCCCTCCCCCGCAATATGAATTCTGAATAACATTAAACTTTTATCAGCCCGTCCCGCAAAGCATGAATTAAACAAACTTTAGAGAGCGTTTGTAAGTAGGGAAAGGTCACTATTGACTTGTTTTCATAGTAAAAAGTTAAACCCAATTTCATTCCATTTCTATTGATTTGAGAAATACATTAAGCAATATATAATCATGTAAGATTTTAAACAAAAATTAAAATGCATTTTGGATTTACATAAATGACATATTTTTTCCGTTGATCTAACAAGCAATATATTCAGTATTATTTTTTAATATATCGGCTAGACTTCAAAGGGTTTAATTGATTTCATTTTTCAATATATTTAAAAAAAACTTTTCACGTGTCGTTTGATGGGATTATAAGAGGAAAGTATTTGAATAACCTTTAATTTCATTAAATAAATCAACCTATTGTCTAGAATGAAGAGACTAAGAGTAAAGAAAAGATAAATCGAAACAAAAAAGAAATAAAGAAATGGGATCATTTCCGAAACGAAAGATAATGAAATAGTATACAAGAGAGAAATATAAATAAATACGTCAAATGGAGAAATGAGAAGAGATTATGACTTTTCTCACAAATCGCTGATTTAAGAGGGTTTTAAAAAAAGAAGGGTTGAGTGAATGACTCTAGTGAGGACAGTTAGTCAACCATTTAACACACAAAGCAATGAATCATGGCCCGATTAGAACCAAATGACTGTCTTTTTTATCTTTATAGAAGTCAATGTTTGGAATTGTGTAGAGTAAATCGGACCAAACGCGTGTGGGGAATTTTTCGATCTAATATCAGACTTTAATCGAATTAGTTCCGTGTCATCGTTCTGTCATTAAGATACAAAAAAGCACTAATTTGTATCCAATTTATTATTGTCAATTAGCAATTAAAACATATAATGTGTGATCATTTGATTGAATTTAAAGTTGTTGATAAATCTGAAAATCATATCATAAACGTCACGGAGTTGTAATCAAAATATGATTATCTGGCTTAATGCATAATTATGATGAATATGAAAAGTTGGATCGTATTTTTTTTCATAATTAACTCGGTATAATTTTATTGATTTTTTAAATTTATTTACTTTTTTTTTTAAGGAAAGAAATTCAGTTTAAAAAATGTTCCACATCACACCAATTAGCTAATTGTTAATTGAATGTTTTGTTTTTAATAAGCATGCTATAAATATGTGGAACACGTTAATTAAGGCTCGTTCAGAATAATATAAATAATATTAAGACCGCTGGGAAATAATGGTGATATAAGGTAAACTATATATTACAGTAATGGGCCAGGGGGTATATCATAATTTGCATGACGATACCGGTGTTAAAATTCAAAGATGGTGAAGATTATAATAGAAATGACTTACATTTCATTCTCATCTTTCAGTTACAAATCTTATCTCATATGACGAAAACGTCAAAAGTTATCGATACACGTGTCAATTGCACTATCATAACAAAAACTTAGCTACGACCCTTCACTCACACAATCAGGTGAAAAGCGTTTAGCCTGTATTGACAGTCACGTGATGTATTAAGCTCCACCCATTGGTCTGTATGTGAAGGTCATGTGACTTAGTTTGTCGTCTGCAGGGAAAGTAGGGGTGGTTTATGTGGTATGGTGTATGGAATATTCACTTTGAAGACAAATCATAGTAGAGAGATAAAGTAACCGAGTTGGCATGAGTTCTTACTACAGTAATATTTTACCGGCTACCGTTAACGGTAGCAATATGGAGCATCTCTATCCTCCCGACGCAAAAATGGAGAATATGTATACGCCTGGCGGACAACAAATGCCATATGATAACTGTTCTTCAATATATTCTTCAGGATCATATATGCGATATAGTGGTTATAGTGACAGACATGATTCTAGGGGAGGGGGAGATGTGAAACCCCAATCCCTATCTGTGACAAACTGTGCTCCCCAAACCTCATCCCCACCCTACCCTGTTTATCCGAATGGAACAGAGAACTATAACGTGTCACATTTTGATAACCGCAGTGTAGATTGTAAAACATCGGACTTACAAGGACAAATGTCTAATTATTATTATCAACAACAACAAGCAATGTCGGGCATGCAAGAAGTTACAAATACACCAAACGGTTATCATAACGCAATGAACGGAATGAGTCCACAAAATATGACAGTTTATCCGTGGATGAGACCAGGAACAGGGGGTAAGCTATTAACCTTCTTAATCTGTAATTAATGGTAATTAAATGTGCAATTAAACGACTATAAATGTTTTATGTTTTCTACTAATAATAATATAGCAGAATATATTCAGCTACGCCTTTTCCTTTCGTTTTAATAAGCCTATTGCTTAGAATCTCGTTGCTTATTAGAAGAACAGTATTAAAAAAGTGCATCAAATTTCGTTATTAATTTAAGGCTTTTGTGTGAATTGATCGGGTTTCTTTTTCCTGCAGGTGTCAGATATATACACCTGTTCGTCAGTTAGAAAATGCAACAATATTAGCTTTTTTCTATGGTAAAATAAAAACGACCTAGTTTATAAAGCGATCGACTACAGTCTACAAAAGCTACACCATGTAGAACAAGAATTAATAATTGTATTATAACATTAACGCATTTTATAATAATAATCAACAAACAATGATAAAAACTATGTGAATAAATTAAATTCATACTATTATGATTTATAATCGTAAAATAGAATACTGCAAGGATCCCTTCTTTTTCGTCTACCAATATATATATATATGTTCTAAATTATACTAATACGTGTGACCTATTGCCATAACTTGGGGCGCTTATCATAAAACGTATTCAAATAGCTATTTACCGCCATAACTTAACGACTCTTTTATGTTTATGTCGAAGAAAATCCTATTAAATGTACAACTCTTTGCGTGAATTCGTATCAATGGATAACAATATCCAATAGGGTTTGATATAAAAGAGTCGTTTAGAAATAACATGTGTATTATTTGAAAAGAGTGAATAAATTGGATAATTCTTTGTAATCATCTATGTGCACAGAGCCCATATTTAGCTAAATTTCCATTCTTAAATTAAAGAATAATAACTGTTGTTCACTAGGTCAAATCCAGATTCGTTAAGATGCACAAACTCAATTGAAACAGATTTCGGGGGCGTGTGATTAATACTAGTCCAATGTCCGTAATATATACATATCTGTAGAGTATATATTTATTTTTTGAAATTCTATATAGAAATATGTTTTTAACTTTTTCCCGTAAGAATGGGGGTTATTTTTTTTATGACGTGGAAATTTTCACAGTAATGAACATGAACGGGCTAGCAATTCTAAAAGTAATACGTCACTGGTAAGTGAAAAGCTGTGTTCACCAAAACATAAAACAAGGACTTAATTAATTTTGCTGAAAGTGTTATTTGACCGTTTCAAACCTTTGTGTCAACTGCAAATCATAAAACTGGGACGATAAAAAAGTTGCCAGGGAAAATAAGCCATAAATATTCACAGTCAAAATGGCGACTGATGAAACAAAACACGATCTAACCAACATAAATTAGATCGGTGTCGAGTAATGATTGCCTAGAATCAATAATGTGCTTCAATGACTCATTTTACTAATCGCACTGATCGAATCCTGATCGATTTTTTAGAGTTTGTATGAATTGGGCAACATGTGCATTGACCACTAACCAATTTTATTGCCTTGAACTTTTTGTAACCTTCTATTTTTTTGCTTCTCAAAACATACGAACGCCATCCCTTTTCGCGTCCTGCAGCGTGTTTAATGTAATAATAAACAGGATTTATTTTATATCTCAGATACAATCTATCATTAACACATCGTCTTCTGTCCGTTTTCCTATAAAATACTATTCAATTGACGCTTGACCATAACTTATGGCTACTACATGGTCATCGGAAAACTGACCACTGCTTTTTGATTTCCTCTGGTCAGTTTTATACTTATTTGATTGCGATGAATGCCATAAAAATCGAATGACATTTATATTCAGAGATCTATAGCTCCTATACCATAAGCCCAACACATCATCGTATTATTGCTAGGTTCTAATCAAATTTTATACCTATTTTATAGGAAATGGTGACGCAATGCAAGCAGCATTCATTGGCAAGTAATCAAATATAATTTTAATTTTGAAATGCTAATAATTTAGAAAATTTTCATAGATTTTTGAAATTGAAAAAAAATACAGCTTAATTTAGTTTATAAATATCCTTACAGTGTTTTCTTTCAAATAGTATTGTTAAAATAAATTCAATATTTATGCTTAATATTTTAATATTGAATATAATCATACTATTAATATAAAAATTTGTGAAATTTAGTATCTGTATTTAAAAGATAATATATATTGAAAATAAATATATTAAATTGCAGTCGAAATAACTAAAAATACCAAAAAGAAAATCGACATATAAATTTGGAATAGGCAGTGCAAGGGGGTCTTTATTTGTTGTTTATGATATGTGTACATATAGGAAATAGAGTTATTAAATAACATCTATAACATTAAGCAAAAAAATAGCTCTCAAGACAAAGCCTTGCTTTATACCTTTATGAACATTTCACATATATACACTACTTTGTTTAAGAATTATTATACTCGGGGTTTAATCTCCATAAATAATTCTGTGTATACTAAAACCATAAATTGTAGCCGTCAAAATAAGAAAGATACATCTTCGTTCGGTAATAACTATACGTTTCATATTTAAATTTTGAAAACTATCTGCGATCTCTTACCAACAATTTTACATCGTATATTAAATATATATTATACAAATCAAGAATCTCACTACGTCTCGAAGTAATGGCATTTTCATGAATCGCCTTAATTATTTCTTATCTCATTCACTGTTCCTTTAAAGTTTCTATTCACACATAAGCGGGTCAAGATGTGTTCTAGCGATAGTGAATGAATTAGATAGATGCTGTTCAAATTATAATAATTTTGGTTTGAAAAAAGGCAATCCACACAAAGGCTTTAAGTTATAGTGGTTCTTCTATAAATAAAGGCATCCCATAAACTATCCTAGAGAAAGGAGGGCCTTCATACGATATATGATAGCATTAAAGTGGTCCCTAATAGTCCGAGCGATGACTTGTCCTAGGCTATTTTACTTTGTCCCACTCGTTTATCTTCAAAGGTAAAAAGAAGTGCGAGCCCTCTAAAGCATCTTAGGGCTGATTTATAGACACCTTTCACTTTACATTCAAAGCGTTTGACTTCTTCTCTTCGTGATGATCAATAAACACTGCTAGAAAATGGCAGTCATAAATTGTATCCGCCCGTCGCTCATTGTAAATTACTATTCCGATGGCCCGAATCGCTAACAAAAAGAACCGTGTTAAACTGACATAGCTGAAGCATATTTACTTTTCTATCAAATTCTTAACATGTGTTTAATACGTCGAGACACGGAGGTATAAAGTATTTTGTGGTCCGGAGTTGGTGTTCAGTGTATGTTTAGTGATGTTGTTTAGAATATGAAAGTGGTGATATATCGCTCAATCCAAAGAGATGCTTCTTTTTCTTCTTGCTGTCTCATTAATATCATCATTTTTGACACAGATTGGATGTATCAGAGATATAATAGAATAAAGATTTATGTTGTGGTAAAATGTAGATTTATATATCACAGAAAGTAACCTTATATACTTATATATGTATACACATCAATAATATTTCATGCTTCTCTTCGTCTTGAATTATACTTTTGCGACTGTTATAATTCGTTTGCAATTCCTTTTTGATATTAGGCATTGGCTGTTGTGTGAATCAAAGTCAATTTAAGTATCTATTCCACACAGGGTACACCTACTCTTTTTTTAACCCCGAAAGTGTATTAGATATATTTAAATTAATAAACAGGACATAATTTACACGAGGGTATATTCTTCAAACTTTCTGGATGTGTATCCAGCTATTTTTTTTAAGATAATACATACAGTTTTTGTTATTGCTTTTTGAAACCACAAAATTATAGCTTGCACTGCAAGTAATTTATTGCTTTCATTACCATTGATTAAGACATATTTTGCATCTAAAATGTGAATAATTAATGGAAGAATCCGATTACAAATACGAATTTTCCACCAAAGATTCTACATAATATAATACAGTCTTAATAATACCAACACAGCTACTTCAAACAACATAAACTATCTAAATAGTCATAAATAAGTACGTAAATGGAGCATGCTAACATCATCTCTTCACCTCTGACTTTACATAGAGTTATGACCTCCATAAAGTCACACTAAAAGCTTGTAAACCTGGTTTGTTCTAAACGAAAATAAAATTTGTTTTATATGAAAAGTCAAAATTTGACCATGTATGTCAAAAGATTTTTTTTTGACTGATTAAATTAAGACATTTATTTACACACGTTTCAATTTTACTGAGACAATTTTGAAAATTTGCCGTGAAGGAATTTGAATTGTCGCCCGAAGTATTTTAGTTCGTGTTTTCATGAAGCTAAAAGTTTTCGAAAAGGACACTAAACTCTTCAAATGATCCAGTTTTTTTACATTTTCCAACATTTAGATATTATATTCAAATTTTTATGCTGTATAAGATAATATCTCCCCAGCAGCAACCTTAAAGGGGTGACAGTGACTAAAATCAAGTGTTTCATTATCCTAACAGAACACCTAAATGATATCGTAAATCTTGTACAATATACATGTAATGCTCCTTTCTTTAACTCGAATCATTCAACTTTTTCAATATTCTTAAGTAAACCTATCCATGTATTTATTTGTCCATTTAGATATCAAAATTAAAGGGCGTGTAACTTAATATACAATTTATCTGCTGTATTAATGATTAAAACCTCTCTGATTAGTAAAATTGTGGATATTTTATCTGAAATCGCACTTGTAACATATGTATATCTCCATGTGTTTATCGCATTTAATGCGAATAAAACGAAGTGTTGATCTTAATACCTCTCTAAATCATTTATCTTTTTTTTACAATTTTACATATAAACAGTAGCAAATTTAGTTAATAGTAAAATACTTCAATTCCAAACTTTTCCGAAAATTAGGCCAATAGTTTTGTTTTTAATTTTCATATCAAAACAGAGTACTGGGTCAGATAAAAATGATTTCTGTGTTTATCCATTGGTTTACATGTAACATCCGGTAGCGTCGTTTTGCTTATTCATAGATTATTAAAATTGCTCATT